CCTGTGCTGTGGGGTAGTGGGTAAAGCTGCCACCTGCAGTGTGGACATCCCATATAGGCGCCAGGTCAAGTCCCAGCTGCTCCTCTTCTGATCCAGCTCTGCTGTGGCCTGGGAAAGCAGTAGAAGATCACCCAAGTCCTTGGGCCCCTGCACCCATGTGGGAGACCCAGAAGAAGCTCCTGGCTCCTGGCTTCAGATTCGTGCAGCTCCGGCCGTTGCAGCTAATTGGGGAGTGAACCAGCGGATGGAACTCTCTCTCCCCCCCACCCCCCAAGCCTTTGCCTCCCCTTCTCTCTCTCTGTGTAACTCTGACTTTCAAATAAATAAATAAATCTTAAAAAAAAATAAAGTGTAGGGTAGTGTAGGTAAGACTGGGAAGATGAACGTGTTCATTTTGGAGGGGCAGAATCCTGGGCGAGAGCAGGAAGAGCTTATTCTGTAGGCAGTGAACAATCGTGGAGGCACTCAGGGGTGGAGCAGCCCTGTGTAGCCTCATACGCTGCAGGTGGCCCTCCTGGCTCACTGGTTTAGCTGGCTTTCTAATCATAAACGCCCCTAATCAGGCATGGCTTACAGCAAGTGGTGGGAAGACTGTTAAAGAGTAGACCAGGCTAGGGGCCACAATAGCCTGAACCAGGGCAGAGGCTGGGAGTAGCAAGGAGCAGAAAGCGATGATATATGCATTGAAGAAGGGGGCTCAAGGGAAAAGTCAAGCCCAAGTGGGCTTTTGGGTTTTGGGGCTGGGTGTCTGGAAGGGTGGGGAACAGAAACCACAAAGCCTGGAGCTGGTTTTTTTGCAGCAAGCTTGAAGACCTGGGATTCCAAAGATGTGGAGGGAACTTAGAGAGCAGGCTTGCTCAGTGAGGGATGGAGAGCCTTTGAGGACAGATATCAGCTTTCTAGGAAAGACCTGAGTTTGTGTGGACCAATCAGGGGGTGGAGAGGGAGAGAGCCAGACAGAGCATGGTAGAGATCCATGGTCTGAGTGGTGGGGTGATGTCTTCCTTTGGAAAGCAGGTGCTATGGTTTGCAGGTAAAACTCATTTTTGGAGTTGAATCCCCATGATTGGATAGAGATGGGACCAGATGATCAGCACTCAGATCCATTCATGTGATTAATAGATTCATGAGTTACTGGGTTATCTCCAGAGTGAGTCTGAAGAGTTAAAATTGTATATGTACAGGTGTCAAAAGTTAAGCTTAAGCTTACAGGTTTAAACCTTCCTAGTGCAGCTGTAAAAATAAAACAGTGAAGTAGCACCTTGACAGTAGGGACTCCATTTTGGAGCACTTGAGACTGCATTCTGGGAAAGCAACCCCCCCACCGTGAGACTCTGGTCCGAAACTATGATCTCAAATAGCCGGACAATAGCAGTGCACTACATCACCCTTGGCAACACACAAAAACCCCCTAGCATGATTGCTCAAGCTTAAAAGTAAAAAGGTTACACCTGGGTTACCTGGGCTAATAATGAAGATGTGATTTGTCTATGTCTTAAAATCATAATTGCTGATTGTAAGATTTTAGCAACCGCTTAGCAACCGTGTATTCTCTCCCCCCTCCCGATTTTGCGGTTTTTGCCTTTATAAACCCTATGCTGTAATTCCTCACTGCTCCTCTGTCCTTGTCAGAGGGCCCCAACATGTTGGATCAATAAATTTAACCCTTTGCTGGTTGCATGAGAGAAAAAGTCTCTTGGAGTCGTTCCTCGGGTGGTGGGCTTTTTTTTAGACCCTAACAAGTCTACTAATAGCCAGTTTGGCTGGGTCTCTCACATACTCTGCTTCTCCCCATGTGACAGCTCCTGCACCTCGGGACACTGCCAGCAGCCAGGCAATCAGCAGACATGGCCCTTTGGATTAGTCAAAATAAACTTCTTTTCTTACAATTTGCCCAGTTTACAGTATTGTGTTAGTAGCAACAGAAAATGGACCGAGACAGCAGAGCGGGGAAAATGAGTGAGTACCGAGAAGCCGAAAAAGAGAAAGAAGGAAGCCAGCAGGAGACAATGCCGTGGGAGCCGGAGGGGGAGAGCACTCCCACCAGCAAGGTGCAGGCCACTGGGAGACCCAGGAGGGCGAAGGCGGGGCGTGAGGGTCACAGGTGCTGCGTGGAGAGCACGGTTTCAGGAGTGAGGAAGAGGGACTGAAGGTGATGAAAAGGGTTGTCAGTTTCCCTGGGAAAGTATTTTTGGTCTTTCCTTTTAAAATGCCTTCCACAGCCACGGTGTCATTGAAAAATCTGGCTGGCACATTGCAATGATAAAAACAGGCCGTGTCATATCTTACTGTGAACACACCTTAGCAGATCCTGGAGGCAGCTTAGTGTACTGAGAGTTATTTCTTGGGCATCCCATGGCGTCCACCTGGGTTTACTGTGCCTCTGAAAAGTGAATCAGTTTCTGCAATTGAATAGCAAGCGTAGGACCAACTGTTCCTGAAACCTTAGGACACATCAGCTGATGGGGACGCTGTAGTTCATGATGGCTATTGAACAGACCAACAATTTATGAGCCCGAAATTCTCATGCCAAATAGCTGCAAAAATATGCCACAGCTTATGAGCGATTTTTAGTTTGATAAACAATATTGAATGCCTTGTCGTGTGAAATTGATCCTTGATATGAGAGGTATCAGTGAGCAGTCTCAAGCGTCCTGGGGCCCACACACCGGAGGACATTGGCAGTCAGCAGCAGTGTCTTTTAGACAGATGTGGTTGGTGGTTAATTGAGTATTCTGTTTCTAGGTCATGGGGGAAAAAAAAAACTAGTTGATACCTTCTTCAGTCTCTGGCTCTTAAAAAAATGATAATTATCAATTATCAAAAGAGACCTTTTTTTCTTCTAATTTTGTCTTTTTTTTTTTTTTTTGGACAGGCAGAGTGGACAGTGAGAGAGAGAGAGACAGAGAGAAAGGTCTTCCTTTGCCGTTGGTTCACCCTCCAATGGCTGCCGCAGCCGGCGCGCTGCGGCTGGCGCACCGCGCTGATCCGATGGCAGGAGCCAGGAGCCAGGTGCTTTTCCTGGTCTCCCATGGGGTGCAGGGCCCAAGCACCTGGGCCATCCTCCACTGCACTCCCTGGCCACAGCAGAGAGCTGGCCTGGAAGAGGGGCAACCGGGACAGAATCCGGCGCCCCAACCGGGACTAGAACCCGGTGTGCCGGTGCCGCTAGGCGGAGGATTAGCCTAGTGAGCCGCGGCGCCGGCCCTCTAATTTTGTCTTGATGTCTACATCAGTCAGTCTTTGAGGTTTTAGGAGCAGTTCTGCATATTAATAATATCACAATTTTGATTAATGACAGTAACCTTCCCTCCTGGTCCCTGTCTCCTCCTTCCCCTCCCTGACTTTAAAACAGTTGCAGTTTTAGCTCAGAAATGCAGGGAGAACACAGAAGAGGCCCTGTGGTGGTCTCTGTATCCCATCCCCTGTGCCTGGGGCGCTGGCAGCACAGGCGGAAGCTCCGTGAGCTTTCCTGGCGCTCTTCACGCCCCTTGCAAGGCAGCCGCCCCTTGAGAAGAGGATGCTAAGAAGTCATTGCAGCAACCACAGAAGATCCAGGAGTAAAAGTCCAATCCAGGAAGGCAACTTTGTCGGCACAGAGCTGGTGAGTCGTGTCTATGAGACAAATTAATTTAATTACCTGGTGCTGCTGCTTCATTTGCAATGATTATTCATTCACTGAGCTGCCTAAACCCTGCCTTATCATTCCCCACCTCGTTTCGCTCCCATGGAGATCAGACGTGCAAGGCTCTTGCGAGCTCCTGAGAGTGGATTAGCCAGCCCTTCTAATCCAGCGAGGCTTTGTGCACTGAATGTCAGCGGCCCTGGGAGGAGAACTGGGAGGGGGCGGGCACTTACCTTGCTCTCAGGGCTCTCCTTGGTGAGCTGAGGACGAATGCATGGGCCCACCTGCTTCTGCTCGTTCATGTCTGTGTCGAGGAAGAGACGGAGGCCGTGGACGCGCGGCCGGGCAGCACGTGACGGTCCTTCCCACACAGCTGTGCCGCTCGCCGTGGCTGCGGCCTGCTGGGCAGCCACCCCATGCGGAGCGCACGGCCCCTGGGCATGAGCAGTCTCCCATGCTCTCTCCTGTCCACGCCGCTCCCAGAGCCCACCTCCCAGCTAGAAGTAGCAGGGAGGCTCCGTTTGGGAGGCGTGGACAGTGTCACCTCATGCAAGCTTAGAATTAAGAGAAAGTGGGTGTTTCCCAGCCCAGTCTCCCACCCTGAGGAGGAGGCCTGAGTTCTTCCTGGCTCTCGACTCTCACCAAGCAGGGAGTCAGTACCACATAAATCCAGCAGATGCAGCACCACTTAAATTCTCCCGACGCTGTGACTTCCCTGCCTTGGCTCCCCTTTACAGCTCTTGAAATTCTGGTATGTTCTTGTGGGGTTTCACCACAATCCTCATCTTTGCTGTTTCTCTCTTAGAATCAGTCAGAAGCAACAGAGAGATAGAGGAGCTGATACAGAGAGGGCTCCCATGTGCAGGGTTGGGCTAGGCTGGAGCCAGGAGCCAGGAGCAGAGAGAGGTCTTCCATCCACTGGTTCACTCCCCAGATGGCCACAACGGCCAGAGCTGTGCTGATCTGAAGCCAGGAGCCAGGAGTTTCCCCCAGGTCTCCCATGCAGGTGCAGGGGCCCAAGGACTTGGGCCATCTTACTGCTTTCCCAGGCCACAGCAGAGAGGTGGATTGGAAGTGGAGCAGCTGGGACTTGAACCAGTGCCCACATGGGATACCAGCACTGCAGGTGGAGGTCCCAACCCACTGTGCCACAGTGCCAACCCCTTAACCCATGTCTTTTTTTAAAATTTTTTGACAGGCAGAGTGGACAGTGAGAGAGAGAGAGAAAGAGACAGAGAGAAAGGTCTTTCTTTGCCGTTGGTTCACCCTCCAATGGCTGCCGTGGCTGGCACGCTGAGGCCGGCGCACCGCGCTGATCCGATGGCAGGAGCCAGGTACTTATCCTGGTCTCCCATGGGGTGCAGGGCCCAAGCACGTGAGCCATCCTCCACTGCACTCCCTGGCCACAGCAGAGAGCTGGCCTGGAAGAGGGGCAACCGGGACAGAATCCGGCGCCCCGACCGGGACTAGAACCTGGTGTGCCGGCACCGCTAGGTGGAGGATTAGCCTAGTGAGCTGCAGCACCGGCCTGACCCATGTCTTAACCTCTTGGTCAACCCTCTCCAACCCCTTCCAACCCCTCCTGCCCCCTCCTACCGCCTCCCCAGAAGCAAACTTTGTTGAGCCTCATTGTCCAAAGGCCCTGGGGGAGTGCCTTGCTCCCTGCATCTTGAAATAAGGTGGATTTTTTCCCTCCAAAAATAGAGGAAAACGAAATAGTTTTTCCTTTTTGTTACCAATGCCTGTGGCTTGGTGTGGGGCAGGAAGGCTGCCTGACCTGTGCCAGGAATCTCTTGCTCTACTCCGCCACCCACTTTCTTCTCTGTTCCAAGGCAACTGCCAGAAGCTATAGTTTAATAAGAGGTAAACTAGTGGTTTTTTGCCCTTTGACCCAAGTTTGCCTTCAGAGAGCGCATAGTGCTTGAGATTCCGAGAAGTCTCATCGGCTGTGGAGAGATGTGGATGGCCTGAGTCTGCAGACCACGAGTGGGGGAAGGACCAAGGGTCATGTAGGTCCTGCAACGGTTGGGACTTGCTTAAATGTTTTAAAATGTTAGGGAGGAATTGAAGAGCAAAGACTAGGAAAATCCAGCAGGGTTTGAGTTTAAGAATAACTGCATATTTAAAAAAATAATACATGTTGTGGTTTTATTTCACTGCTTTTGGAAACTTAGCTGGCAGTGTGACCATTGATGACATTTTATCACATGGGCTCCAAGTGGCTTAGGAATCAGATTAAACTGCTCACTAAAATGACAATTCTTTTCGTGAATTGTTATTTTAGTGAGCAGTTTAATCTAGATTCTAGATTTCCAAGAGGATTCAGTCCTGCACAAATGGTCCCATGTCCTTCTGTCACCCTTGTATTTGAGAGGCTGGCGCTGCTCCCATCTCCTGACAAAGCTGGAGGACAGCAGCTGATGGAGCCCCTGGGGGCTGCTCCTGTTTTACGAGGGCTTCTTTGGAAGGAAGGAGAGTGGTTGCAGAAAGACATTATTGGCACTTCCGGTAGTAAAAGGCAATTTGATGGAGGCGAGGAACAAAGAGAGTGTGGATTTTGTGATGATGAGGTTGGATTTATTATTCTTGTAACAGCTTTATTGAGATATAATTCAAGTACCAAACAATTCACCCACTTGAAAGGTACAAGCCGATGGTTTTTAGCCTGCTTAGAGGTGTGCAAGTCTCACTACTATCAATTTCAGAACATTGTCATCAGCCCCCAAGGAGACTTCATCTCCTCCATATCCACCCCAAACCCCAGCTCCTGGCAACCATGAACCCACTTTTTGTTTTCACGTATTTGCTTGTTCTGGACAATTCGTGTCAATAGAATCATACCTTGCAGGGCCTTTGTAACTGGCTTCTTTAGCATTTTCAAGATTCATCCGTGTTGGCGCATGTACTTCAAGCCTTTTTATAGCCAAACAATATCCCCCTGCATGGGTACGCCACATTCTGTGTGTCTGCTTAAAGCTGTATGTGAATCACTCGGCAAAATCCCCGAGTGCCTGCGGAGTGCTCCCGGAACCAGAGGATGACCCACTCATTCACAAGCACATCTTTGCGACTGACCCAGTTGTCCCTGGAGGAGGCGTTTCTTCTTCCTTTCTCTGTTCTGACCATCACACTCCAAGGTGTATATACACTCTAACTACAAATAATATAGGGAAGAAGCTCACGGTCATTTTGCCGTTGGTGCTTTAGTGGCCATTGAACATTCCCTTTTAGGAGCCAGAAGCTTTGCAGTGAACAAAACAAAGTTTCTGCTCTTCTGGAGCTTGGGGTGTCCTGGGGGACAAAGGCAGGGGGCAAATGATAGTGTTGTGTGGTGGGTGATGGTAAGAGGCGGGAGAGCCGTGGAGCAGGGTGCAGAGACGCAGAATTCAGGATTTTCCCTGTGGACACAGATTCTTTTCTCCGGCAGCACCTGGATGCTCCCCAGGGAGTAGTGACAGAGCTAGGCACTTGGTTCCCCAACAGTGCCTCTGGCCTCCTGTGGCGGGGCGCTCCTGGAGTGTGTTGTGGTTTGAACATGGTTTGTCACCGCCTCGCTCCTGTTGGCCTTTGAGTACCACCGTGGCAGTATGGGGAGGCTGGGCCTTCATAAGGCAACTGGCTGCCCTTTGGGGACTGGATAAGGCGCAGCGAGAGCAGGTTCTTACAGAGCGAGGCTGCCCTGTGCATCCGCTCTTTTGCGCACACCCGCTTGCCCTTCTGCCATGACCTTGCACCTCCCAGGTGGCAGAACTGTGAGCCCAGCTCAGGATCTGCCCTGGTGAATCAGCTGCTCTCAGCTCTTCTGTTCTGGCAACAGAGGACAGTCCAGGACAGGGAGCCATGGGCCCACATTGCCCTGCTGTTCTGCACATTTGCAGTTGTCCCTGGAGGAGGCGTTTCTTCTTCCTTTCTCTGTTCTGACCATCACATTCTAGGGTGTATATACACTCTAACTACAAATAATATAGGGAAGAAGCTTACGGTCATTTTGCCATTGATGCTTTTGTGGCCATTGAACATTCCCTTTTTGATCCGAAGGACTTTTTTTTTTTTAATATTTATTTGAAAGTCTGTGTTGGGGGTGGGGAGATCTTCCACCCACTGGTTCACTCCCCAGATGGTAGCAGTGTCCAACACTGTGCCAGATGGAAGCCAGGAGCCAGGAGCCAGGAGCTTCTTCTGGGTCTCCCATGAGGGTAGCAGGGGCCCAAGTACTTGGGCCATTTTCTGCTGCTTTCCCAGGCCATTTTTAGGGAGGTGGATTGGAAGTAGAGCATCTGGGACTCAAACTGGCATCCATATGGGACGCTAGTGTAGCAAGTTAAGCCACTACAACACGTGCCCTCCCTGTCCCTGAGGGACTTGGTTTTTATCAGCTAACTGTGGAGGAAGTGTGTGTTGGTACCTGTTGTAAGCCAGGTGTTTGCAGGTGCCTTGAGGACTCCCTGGTGCTGGATGAGGCTGTGCTAATTGTGTGCTGTGCAGGCAAGGCTTATCGCTGACTGTGCTCCCAACAGTGTCTACCTGAACACCCCAGACAGTACCTGCGCTGCCTTCTCTTGTCAAGCTGGCAGTCTCATTTTTTAGAATTAGAGTGGGAATTTGGAAAAATTATGAGAAATATCCCTAAGCAGAGAGTTTTTTTAAAAGATTATTTTTAAAAGATTATTTTTTCTGGGGCGCTGTGCTGCAGTGGGTTAATGGGGTTAATGCCCTGGCCTGAGGTGTTGGCATCCCATATGGGCGCCGGTTCAAGTCCTGGCTGCTCCTCTTTCGATCCAGCTCTCTGCTGTGGCCTGGGAAAACAGTGGAAGATGGCCTAAGTCCTTGGGCCCCTGCATCTGCGTGGGAGACCTGGAGGAGGCTCCTGGCTCCTGGCTTCGGATCGGTGCAGCTCTGGCTGTTGCGGCCGGTTGGGGAGTGGGCCAACAGATGGAAGACCTTTCTCTCTCTCTCTCTCTTTCTCTCTCTCTCTCTCTCCTCTCTCTGTATAACTCTGACTCTCAAATAAATAAATCAATATTTTCTTTAAAAAGATTATTATTTCTTCTCTGTGTGCACAATCATATCTGAAGAAAACTAGAAATGAGTGCACTTAGAAGAAAATAATGTCATCGTAGCAGGCCACTTGCATGAAAATGCCTTTTCCTTCTGAAAAATTTTTCAAATTTTTTTGGAGCTGAGTCCTGGGAGCCCTCTCCTTGTGCCAGGCTCTTGGGCCTGGGGGGAACGTGACATCTGACATCTGGGCCACTAATGAGATCCCTTCAGCCACAGCTCAGGTCCAAGGCTCTGCCCTGTGGGCCTGAGGACACACACACACTGGCTGCCCAGCTGCTCTGGGGAACTGAGCCCTCCCTGGGCCAAGTTATTCATCCAAGTAAAAGCTGCCCACTGCCTCGGGGAAAAACAAAGGTCGTGAAGTTCCTGGGCGCCCTGGGCATTTACTCTTAATTAACAGTCTGAGTGGCTGGAGACAGCTCTGAAAAGCGGCCATACCCCCCAACAAAAGGAAAAAGGATCCAGTGTTTCTAGTGGTAGTGCTGTCACTCCTATGGGAATCCGCTTACGCTGATAAGAATCTACCAGATTTGCCTTCTGCAATGACCCTTATTTGGGGCTTTAGTTTGCTTAGGTTACTCATGTATGTTGCTTTAAAAAAAAAAAAATCCAAGCAATGCAGATGAGAGATAAGCCTTAAAAAACCACTGCCCCTCCCACCTGCAATCCCTGCCTGTCCCCTGCTCCCCCCCTCACCCACCCCCCAGGCCAAGCAGAGTTGCATGCATGTTGTGGCAAAGACATTTAATACCACAGGACTTCCAGATGAGGCCCTGCAAACAGCACTCACGCACGGCCGGCTGAGCCAGGACTTGCATCCTTTCTTAGCACCTCCCTCCTAGAAGCTTTTGCCTTTACCGGCTTTGTCAAGCTAGCAACTTCGAACAAGACAATTCTTATAAATCCTGGTGCCTGGGCATGGCAGTGCTCAGGATCTGGTAACTATGTTACCGGGGAGTATATTTTAAAATTAATATTTCGGGTTCTTGTCTCAAGCTTAGAGAAGCATCCTAAGCTTAGACAGACACAAGATAGGCAACATGGGAGGGTTCAGACTTTATTTGGGGGAGTGAGAGAAATACACAGGAATGTGAGGGCTTTATTTAAGGGAGAGGCAGGTCAGACAGATGAACCAGGAGTTCCATACCAGGCAGTGGACATACTGAGGGCCACTGGTGGGAGTCCACAAGCGGACAGCAGTGGCAGCAAATATGGGCCTTGAGTGTACAGGGCAAGAAGCAGCCAAATGGCCACAGGCCCAGGAGGCGCATGGGAGAGCAGGGGCGGGGCCAGGAGCACTCCACACCTCTTATTCACTTCCAAAGGGGAGTGGTTACTAGTCTGATTGGCAGTGGTGTATACAGGTGAGGGCGGGGAGGGGCAGGAGAGGGGCGTGGTCTCTAGCTCCTGAGCCTAAACAATGTATTCCTTTCTGCCTGTCGGTATCAGCTGTGTTAATAATTATTTGTGAATTAGCTGCTAAATTAGAGCTGCCAAATAAAACACAGGATACCTAGTTTTCGGATGATAAGAAATAATTTTTTAGTGTGATTGTCCCTTGATACCTACAGGAGTACCGATCTCACCACCCCAGCCAGCTCCTTGGCTGCTGACGGGCGTGAAGGTTGGTGGTGCCGTCCTGACTGTAAGCTGGGGCTCTATCTGTTGCCGGCTCGCTCGCCGTCCGCTTCTCCCTGCCCCTTCTCACCCGAAACCCCTCCTTCAAAGTCTGGAATGGAGCAAGAGCCCCCAGGGATGGCTGTGGGGTTATTCCAGCGACGGGACAGGAGGTGAGGGTGAGCAAGACTGTTGGGCCCTGGGCCTTGAAATGAGCCTGGCAGAGAGGGGAGGGTGGGCCCCACGACAACTGTCTGGACTCAAGGAGGCATTTGGGGCCATCCTTTCTGGGTTTATGGAGCTAGCGTCCTGCCTTAGACTGTTGATGTGCGGTGTTCTTCCCTTCTCTTTCTCAGGGAAAACATCCCACGCACACCGGTTGCGGGGTTGGGTGGGGGGTGGGGGGGCTCTGACGTTTGGTGGATGAGGACACAGCATGTGATTGCGGTTTTCACCAACAGCACGGACACCGAGGACGTGTTTCCTGGCAAAATGCCACTCTGTAACGTAGACTCCCAAACCCTTTATTTATTTATTTTGGCAGCGGGTGTGTGTGTCTGATTTCAACGAGCCGACCACTCTCTTTCTCGTGCTGTCTGGCTTTCTCTGCCTTCCTCCCCGATTCCTCTCTCTCTGCAAGCCCCGTCTTCCCTCACCCACTCCCAGGCCAGGCTGATCCGGAGCACCCCTGAGTTTTCCTCAGCTCTGGCTTCCATGAAGACCGGAAGAAATTCCCTGTTGCATGTGGTGTGTGAGATTCGAGGGGAGCCGTAGCCCAGGAAGGTGGGCGGGAGCGGAAGAGAGGTGTGGACACTGCTTGCCGTCTTCCCCTTGCTCTCTTGCTCTAGGGAGGATGCCTTCACAATGAGTGTTGTCCGAGGCCAAGGACCAACTGCTTTTGTACCCATCGACTGCCCAGTTTCCTGGGAGCTGCACTGATGGAGAATCAGAGTTCAGTTCTGACTTGGAACTTGGAACAGACAGGGACAGTGAAAGATGTCGGGGCCGGCTTGTGGCGCAGGAGGTGAAGCCGCAGCCTGCAACGCTGGCCTCCTGAGTCAGAGCACAGGTCTGGGTTGCAGCTGCTCTGCTTCTGATACAGCTTCCTGCAATGCACCTGGGAAAGCAGCATAAGGTGGCTGAAGGGGCTGGTGCTGTGGTGGAGCAGGTAAAGCCACCGCCTGCAGTGCTGGCATCCCATATGGGCGCCAGTTCAAGACCCAGCTGCTCCTCTTCCAATCCAGCTCTCTGCTATGGCCTGAGAAAGCAGTGGAAGATGGCCCAAGTCCTTGTGCCTCTGCACCCGTTTGGGAGCCCTGGACGAAGTTCCTGTCTCCTGGCTTTGGATCAGCCCAGCTCTGGCCATTGTGGATGGAAGACCTCTCTTTCTGTCTCTCTGCCTCTGCCTCTCTGTAAGTCTGCCTTCCAAATAAATACATAAATTTTAAAAAAGAAATAAAAATAAAAAAAGAAGGTGGCTAAAATATTTGGGTCCCTGCCACCCACATGGGAGACCTGGATGGACTTCAGGCTCCCAGCTTGGCCTGGCCCAGCCCTGTCCATCAAGTCCATTTGGAGACTGAACCATCAGATGGAAGAGTCCTTTCTCTCTCTGTTTCTCCCTCTTTCTGTCTCTATACCTTTCAAATTAAAAACAAGAATCTTAAAAGAAAGTTGTGCCGGTGCCGCAGCTCACTAGGCTAATCCTCCGCCTTGCGGTGCCGGCACACCGGGTTCTAGTCCCGGTCGGGGCGCCGGATTCTGTCCCGGTTGCCCCTCTTCCAGGCCAGCTCTCTGCTGTGGCCAGGGAGTGCAGTGGAGGATGGCTCACGTGCTTGGGCCCTGCACCCCATGGGAGACCAGGATAAGTACCTGGCTCCTGCCATTGGATTAGCGCGGTGCGCCGGCCACAGCGCACCGGCTGCGGCGGCCATTGGAGGGTGAACCAACGGCAAAAGGAAGACCTTTCTCTCTGTCTCTCTTTCTCACTGTCCACTCTGCCTGTCCAAAAAAAAAAAAAAAAAGTTGTGGCACTAACAAGTCTGGGAAAGGTTGGCAAAATTATTTTAATGCCAGATCCCAAATTGGAATGGTACAGAGATTAATTAAAAAATAATTTATTGGTCTTGTACATTCTTTTGAGAGCTTACATGTTTTCTGAGATGATTTTAAGTGTTTTTTTCCCTCCTTCCTTCTGAGTATAATGGTCAGCTTATTGGGAAAATTGTTTCTATATACCAATTAATAAAATACCATGGTTAGCTTAGTCTCTTAAAAAGCATTTACCTACTTTGATGTTTGTTTATTTCCATCCTTTTCATCAGATTTGTTTTAGAACAAATAATAATTTCTTGTCAAAATGCCTCATGCAAAGATTGAAGCACGCAGTGAAATGTAATACGATGTTGTGAATTCTAGAAGGAAAATCTGACCGAGCAGCACATGGGGCTGATTTGATAGAGAATTTCCAAAGGCCTTTGGCAAGAGAGACATAAGAATCATGGGCCTGGAATATGACCCTCAGTAAGTCTGGAGTTTAATGGAGTAAAACATGGGCTCCACGTGCTGGTGCTGATGAATTAATCTTGGGTACGCTCAATGAATTTTGATTGCAGAGTCGTAGTTTTTCTCTGTAAAAATCAGGACAGAGGTTGATTATCTTGCTTGCTAATTTATCTAAAAGTAAAATAAAGCAGAAAACATCTCATGTATTTGTCACCAATGGAATAGAGGATAATCTGCATACAACAACAAATGTATCTGTTTAAGAGGTAGTTTGAATAGTAACTAATGTTTCACATGATGCGATTGTCAATGCATCATTTAAAGAATGAATTAGTTTCTGAGATTTTATGTGACAAGAGATGAGCCATCAATTCCTTATAAACAGACATTTCAATAAATGGGAAAGATGGATGGAGAGTGTGTGTTGGCCCCATCTTTATTACATCGTAGTAGCCCAGACAGAGATACATGATGGTCCAAAAATTATTTTCACTTTGAAACTTGTAGATGTTGCTAATGTATATGCCAAGGTAATTTAGAGCCAGCACACGTGGTTTTCCTTGGCATTTTAGAAAAGGTTGAATCTGCCGATTCTCTCCAACGTGTTGTCTCCCACTGCCCCCAGCTTCTTCAGGTGTGGATAGCAGTCAGTTTGAGTTCACGTCCGATCATTTCAGTGCCGGATCATCTCTGCTATTCCTATTTCCTTGCTTGTCCACGAGTCACTCCTTTTTCCTTTTGCTTATTTGAGTGCTTTGCCATTTTTGACGCATGTTGGTTTTTTGTAGAGACTGAAGTAAACAGAATTTACCTCCAGAAATGGGCACATTGTTCCTGTCCTCGATTTTGGCTGCTAGAGTAGGGCGGCTGGGTCAGTCCTGTCTGTGGCTGAGCTAGGACTAGATTTTTTTTTTTCAGCTTTGATTCCGTTCCTTATGGGCTTCAAACATTTTGAGAGCTGAATCAGGCCCTGCTCTTCTGCGGGGCTGGGGATCTGGCCAGTTCCGAGGTCCAGAGCCCCCTTTGTTGTAGCTGCACTGCCCATTTCCCTGATGGTAGGGGAGCTCTCTGGTTTTCAGTCCACTTCCAGCTCCCAGAGTCCCAGATGGTTCATTTCTTCTCCAGTCCTAACCTAGGCAGCTTGCATCCCAGGGGGATTCTCTTGCTTCCAGGAGCCTGGAGGGAGGGTTTTCTCAGCTCTCAGTGCCCTGGGCTGCATTTCTCTCCCAGGTTGCTGCTCTCCCACTATTTTGCACAGACTGGTAGAGGAGGCCCTGTCTGTCTTGGGGGTATCTCTCAGCTCTGCTGTGTCTCCAGCCTTTTGTATCCTGTGCTCAGATGGGGCAGGTAGTGCTGACCTGCTCTGGCGTTGGGGCTCCTGGAATTCTAATCTGTCATTCCATTTTACATGTGACTGTGACCATGAACGCTGGAAGTTTGTTCAAGTGTTGACTGGTTCCTCTTTACTCCCATCCTTAGGGAATTTGTCCTCCCTCCTGTCATTGCCCAGCTTGCCATGAGAGCTGGATGGGTCTCTCCTCTCCTGTTGGAAGCTGGCCATCTTCTGGAGTTAAAGTTTAGTTTCTGCACAGTTATAGCTCATTCGCCTTATTTGATTGTTAGACAAAGGATAATGATTTCTTGCAGTTTTCTACTTAGTAGCTAAAAGTAGAACTCTTCATTATCATTAAATATACCAAATAAATTCCCACTTTAGCTTCTCAGGCATGTTTGATGCCTCTTCCTCTCTGCCTATTAAAATATGAATGGATTATGTGACCCAGCCATCCCACTCCTGGGGATTTACCCAAGGGAAATGAAATCAGCATAAGAAAGAGTTATCTGTACCCCTATGTTTATTGCAGCTCATTTCACAGTAGCTAAGATGTGGAATCAACCCAAATGTCTGTCAACAGAAGACTGGATAAAGAAATTATGGGATATTACACAGTGGTAAAAAAAATGAAATCCTGTCCTTTGCAACAAAATGGATGAAACTGGAAAACATCACACTTAGTGAAAGAAGCCAGTCCCAAAAGGACAAATACCATATGTTCTCCTTGATCTGTGATAACTAATAGAATACATAAAAGGTAACCTATAGACGTGAAATTGACAATTTGAGATGCAATGACCTTGAACAGCACTTGTCTCAATTGTTGAGGAACAGTTATTTTTTTCATAGTATTTGTTGAACTCTCTACTTAGTGTAGAGTTACTTGTATGTGTATAATGTTAATTGAAAATAGATCATAGTAAAAAATAAGAATGGGAATAGGAGAGGGAGGAGGAAGAAGGGTGGGAATGTAGGTGGGAAGGCGGGTACGGTGGGAGGAATCACTATGTTCCTAAAGTTGTATTTATGAAATGCATGAAGCTTGTATTCCTTAAATAAAAGGTTTTTTTTTTTTTGGGGGGGGGGAGGATGTGAATGGATTGTAGAACCAGATCGAGCCTCGTTTGCCCTCACCTCTGAACTCTCGTTCCTTTGTAAGGGAAGATGAGGGTGATCTCGTTTCCTGTCTCACACAGGAGAATCTCCATGTGGTCACAGGCAGTGAGCAAAGCGAGATTCATGGAAAGCGAGAAGTCTTCTGCTGCACCAGACCGGAGGAGAGCACCAAAGGAGGAGCTGCCTGGGAAGCCTGCAGGTCCTAGGCCTTTTATACCAAGGTGGCTCACTCTCTCTGATTGGCCCTGGATTGAACCAATGAGGGGAGGAGTGGAACAATAGCTAAGAACTAATCAGAGGGCTGGGGTAACACCCAATCAGGAGGCAGAGAAAAGACCCAGTGAGGGTTGGAATTGGTGACCCTGTCTAGCCTGTTCTCATGTTGAAATTCAGGATGGCTAAACTGCTTCTGGGAGGAAGCAAGCACTTTGTCCACTCTTAAAGGGACCCTGCCCCTTTTCTCATTCCAACAGGGAACCGACCAAACTGCCTATTAGCCTGTCTAACTGCTCAAATCTAATTTTTTTAAAGATTTGTTATTTGAAAGATTGTTATTTGAAAGGCAGGGTTACTGAGAGGCAGAGGCAGAGAGAGGTCGGTCTTCCATCCACTGGTTCACTCACCGGTGAACCAGATGGCCGCAATGGCTGGAACTGCGTCAATCCTAAGCCAGGAACCAGGAGCTTCTTCTGGGTCTCCCACGTGGGTGCAGGGACTTGGGCCATCTTCCACTGCTTTCTCAGGCCATAGCACAGAGCTGGATCGGAAGTGGAGCAGCCAGGAGTGGAACTAGCGCCCATTTGGGATCCCGCACTGCAGGCAGTGGCTTTACCTGCTAGGCCACAGTGGCAGCCCCTAACTGCTCAAATCTTGACATTGAAAACATGTAGCTGTGCATTTTTGGTTATTTTCCCTGAATATGTATGGTCTCCCATCCTGCAAGTCTGACCCATTCACATTAGCAGAATTTGTTACCTTGTGGATTCACCAATTCGGCCCTAAAGTGCAGAGGCACTGACCACTGTGTAGAAGTCAAGAGGAGCAGCAGAGGGTTGTAGAGGACTTAAAAATGAAAACATTTCCCTTTGAAAAATGGAAACACAAGGATGATTCTGGAGTACAAAAGCTACCCATTTTATCAGTGGATGCACCCAGGACTGGAGCAACAGAGCCCAGAGAGGAGCTTCCAGCCACCTGGTGGTCCCGCGAAGCAGTAGGTGAAATGGAGCCAGCGCCAGGTGGCCTCACCTCCTCGGGGACAGTGGCCCAGACCACAGCCATGGTAACCAATACAGCAATCTCCCCGGCTGGCTTCAGCGAGCCTGTCTCTGGACGCCAGCCCATCAGCGGCAGTCTGCCGGCCTCGGGAGTCGCCCGCTGGCCAGGCCCGCTCCACGAGCGCACCTCCGAGCTGACCTCGCTGCGCTGACCGTGCCCGCCCCTTCTCTAAGCTCTGCTCGGTGAAGTCACAGCTCGTCCTTACCTGAGTAGGTAATGTGTTTAGCAGCTTAGTTTCCTGTTGTAAGGGGGCAATGTCATCCTTTGCCTTTTGTTAATTCCACCCAAATCGTGTTGAGGACCCTTGCTGGTGGCAGCGTGTGAGCTCTTGGGCTAACGCATCTGTTTATGGGGCCAACTATGGCCACATTGCATTTGTCTTTTGCATTTGCTGCCTGTTAAGTCTGTCTCTAACTTGCTTCCATGAGTTCTCATTGCTTAATTAATTTTCTGATATATATGTTTATTATTACTATTAACAATATTGCAGGAATGGTTTTACAGGTTCCATATAAGCGAGAGTACTGTAGAAAGCTTGCAGAAAATAGACCCAAAAGATACGTCTATTTTGGTGTAAATAATCTTGAAACCTGTGCATACAAGGGGTCTTCACAAATGTCATAGAAAAAGTATATATGAAAAACCTATGCATGGATGTCAAAAACTTTTTAGGTCAAAACAAAACCCATCCTCTAACCCATCTTTCCACAAAGACTGTGAGGTAACCTCATATTTTAATGCTTATAATAAGACTGTGCCTTTAGGGTTGGGTGTTTACCCTAGAGGGTAAGAAGCTGGTTAAGATCCCACAGTCCCTGTTGGAGTCCCCTGGTGTGAAAGCCAACGGCAGCTCCCGACGCCAGCTTTCTGCTCACGCAGACCCTGGGAGGCCGCTGTGATAGCTCAGGTGGTTGGGATCCTGCCACATGTGCGGAGAAACTTGGTCTGAGTTCCTGGCTCTTGGCTTCAGCGCCAGGTCAGTTGGAGTTCATATTCATATTAGTTCATATTCTGAAATTAGTAATTATCTGGCAGTTGATTGCATGATCTCTCTAAATCTCTCTAAATAATCTATATTTGGTCTAATAATTTTATAATGTGAGTGCTGTTTTCTTGAGAAATTTCTAAAGAAAGGATAACTCATTTAGGGGAGGTCAGAGGAAGGGGCAGAGGAAAGGGAGGACTGCAGATTGGGTTGGATGGTGACCATGACACAGGGGCCGGCGGGCCAGCTGGGTCTGATGGCGGGAATGGGGAGAGTTAGAGCCTTCCTGCGAGGCTAACCGCCAAGTCAGCATGCTGTCTTGAAGCCTCCTTGATTAATCGATGTTGAAGAAGCTGACTGCCGAGTTGTGAATGTTATTATTGTTTCCTAATTTTCCCAGAGTCCTTGTTAATCGTGTCAGTTTTGACACGTTGTGTGACAGCGAGCCATAGTCACCGTCTTGAGTCTCGCCCCTCCCTCGGGACCTCAGGACCAAGGCCACCTGCTCCTCTAGCCGAGGCTGCTCTCTGGCTGTAAGAGCCGTCGTGCTGTCCAAGCCGTCCTGAGCTGTTCATCCGTGTTGAAATTCTACTTTCTTCAAGCACTCTTTCCCACTCAAAGTTGCGCTGTAATCTTGACTTGTGTACCTGGGTTCATAAATGGCAGATGTGTTTTTGCTTTAGAACAGCAGTGCCTTGTGGGCAAACGCTGGTGTGTGTCTGAGGGGCGGGAGAGCAGGGACTGTCCCTGAGCCGAGAGGGACTCAAAGGAGCTCCTTGGAGTTGCTCAGGCGACTTACCCAGGGAACCCAGGACCGGACGGGCAGGCGTTCTGGTCCGAAGCCACAGGGATGGGAAAAGACGTTATCCGTTGACAGATGCGAGAGAGAGGCGGGTAGGATCTTATTTCGCGTTATTCCTTCACGTCTGCGCTGGGAGCGTGCCCCTCAGGTATCCCGCTCGTCTTCCCGACGTTATCAGGAAGGCTGGGACTGCACGCAAGCCTTCAGGGAGAGCAGCCTCAGCCAGAGGTGCAGGTGGCTAGTGTCCTTCTGAGGCAGGGGGAGCCGTCCCAAAGGAGCGGTGAGACCCAAGATGGCGTGACTGTGGTTTGCTGTCACACAACATGTCAAAATTAACACATTAATTATTAATTATATAATTAATTATATATAATTATATATAATAATATAATTATACAATATAATATATAATAAAATCATATAATAATTATATAATTAATTATATAATATATTAATTATTAATTAATTAAGGACCCTGGAGAAATGAGGAAGAGTGACACGCAGAGCTCAGCAGTCAGCTTCCAGGGGCCCTCAAGACAAAGTGTTGACTTCTGGTTCTCCTCTCACGGAAGCTCTGGTTCACCCCCACTTGCACCGTCTGAGCCCACCCTTCCTGCAGGCTCCTCCGTGTTATTGTCACCATCCAATCCAGTGCACATTTGCCCTATAAACGAGTTATCCTTTCTTGACAGTTTTCTTGAGACAGTAACAAGTACATGATAAAATTGCTAGACCAGAAGGAGGAGGAGTAGCATTTGCGTTTAAATCATGGTCTAGAGCTGAGTAAAGGCTCTAGTTAAGATTTTTCAGCCTCAGTAAGACAGAAATCTACTGCAGAATGCAATGCTTAATTTGCACGGATTTTTCTGGAGCAGCAGTCTCATTTGATTACTAGCCCCTCTCCGATGGGGACTGTGGTTAAGAACTCAGGATGGGAAAGACCAAGCGGGAATTGAAATAGCCCAGTGCTGCATAACTTAGTAATGGCCTCGAGAGGGCAAGAAAACAGGCAGCGGATTACATTAGGTTATTGCAGTAGTCTTTTCCGTGGGGGAGATTGGATAAAGATCCAAAATTGCAAACAAAATCAAGAGGATTCAATTGGAAACTTCAAAAACAGACTCCAGGAAACTTTCAAGTGGCATTCGGGCTAGATCTAGCATCCCAGGTGAAGGGAGTCTTGTCCTTTCTTTCTGTAAATGAAACCTGAAATAGAGGGCCTGCTCATAAATAAATTGGAATGGAAGATTGCCCATTTACAGTATCCTGCATATGACTGAGTATCTTAGAAAGTAAATCAGCAAGAAGTGAAAACTGGGTCTCCTGTTAGAACTACTGACCCTTGAAATGCAAGAGGACACAAACAGGGTAAAAGTCGATGAATTAAGATACCTGTGGACATTTGCAGGTAGAAGGGCCGTAGGAAGATCCAGTACTGCA